TTAAGTCTAGAAGGCTATATATGCATTTGTTTGAAACCAAGAACTTGTAAAGTAATAGTTTATAATCCACTAGAAGTTATAGACTCACCAAGAAGTTGAGGATACTCCTCTGAAGAACGAAATACACGCAGTATTTATGCAACTGCATTAATAATGTCCAAGCTCACTGCATATAAAAGTTGTAATTGACCCCCTAATGTTAAAGTGCGTAATATTTTTCAAATAAATCGCCACTAAAGCATACATATACACCACTAGAAGTTGGTGAATGGAGAATTTTAGTATGCTATTAAATAGCTCTGCATTAGGGGGAGACGAATGCCTATTTTATAGAATGCCTTGATATTTATAAATCAAAACACACAAACCCATACTAAACTAGCTGTTTAGTTACACTACTCCTATATTCTATAGTATGGAGTTATGCCAGATAATTATTTGTATTGATAAGTAGTAACTAGATTGGTTAAAATTGAAATGAATGCTTCTACTTGATGTAGATGTGGATATACCCGAGATTAATTTCGTATCCACGTGACTTGTTGGCATTTGATCAAATCATGCGGGGACACCTGCAAATGAGATTTAGCGACCTAAGTCAAAAGCATATGCTCATGAAGCAAACTCACATTATGTGTGATAAAACTCCTCTCATACTCTTGTAGAGAAATCATCATGCTGGTTAGTTACCTCACAATGAGGTTCATCCTCGAGATGAAAATCCTAACAATGCGCGTGTACTGTAAAGTTAGGAATATGGAACAACAATAGATCTATCGTTTTGGGAAATACAAAGATCATTATTAAGACGGAAAAATGTGTCGACACTTGTTTATCTATAATTGCTAAATGAGTTTCTTTTGTGAGAACCCGGATCCATAAAAAAGTCCATGATGACAAGAGTGCTTGAAGCTCTAATATCGGGTCAAATGAACCATGCAATTGCGGTTGAACAAAAAAAATCGCTAAGTGAGTATCTTGAACCTGATGTTCAGATAATTATGGGTCATCATTGAAATAATGGGTGGTGAGAAGAAGGCGATGGCTCAAAAGGTCCTAATAGAGATCAGTTCTAATATAAGTTTTACAAAATACTTTCTGATATATAATGAATCTGGTTAATGGAATGGATTAAAATATGCAGTCATGGGATTCTAAAAATCCATGAAGAGCAACATCAAAATCTCATGCCAGTATTGTATTTTATGAGAAATGATCTCGCCATAAAGATGAAAAAACTCCCTTAAGGATTTTTCCTTAAAAGAATACATGGCTATAAGCCTGAATGCACTAAAATAAGTGAAATCTTTGGAGGAAATAAAGACCCATATATGAGCTAAAAGATAAGAATGAAAAGAGGTACTGATGAAAGGAACAAAAGTATATCATATAAGCACATGTGCATTTCATGAGCTTTTACTATGAGTGCATATATATACTTGTGATATAATGTTTTCTCCGCCTGAAGATTTGGATTTGAAGTATCCTCTAAAAACTGATTTGATATATTTGGTGTTACTAGCAATATTTTCCCCGATACACTAGAAATACAGACTTGTGATGTCTTATTATATATTAAATATTCTCAAAGAATATTGTAATCAATACCAGATGGAGTCACGGCTATTATGAATAGAGAAAATTACAATTATGTAAAGAATAATGATTATTAATCACATCTCGAATATGTGTGCCATTGCAATTTTGCAGTGCATAAATATGTATTCCAATGTATGCTTGATAGAATATAATAATAAATTTCTCTTGACATTATTCTCTATTCTCAATGTTCTTGAAGAACAGTGAGACAAACGTCATGAAGGGTAAATGTTGTGAAAATCTTATAATCTCACTTGCACTATCCATCTCTATGTTTATTTCCAAACAATGATTAATGTCATGGGAAATGAATTACTTCCATGGATGTTGTCATCAATGGGAGTATTTACAAGATATTGATCGTCATTCAATATACTTTGAAAGTCTCAAACAATATCTAGAATGTGTTATTTGTAATAGTGACTTTCTAACCTATGTTGAAGGCTCTATCATGACACCATTTATGAAAGTGGGCTTATTTTTTTATGTACCTTTCTTTCCTTTTTTTAACTTCACGGGTTCTAGAAGAAAGATGAGGTTAATATTATGAAATAATCCTTGCTGTGGACTTGTGTTGGTGGACCGTCCAATGGTCATCATGACTGGATCATCTGTGGGTCAGGACAGGGGAAGTCTGAGGTGGCCCCACGAACTGCCCCTGAGTTTTAGAAAAAACAAACTCACACGTTTTCATCATATAATAGGCTAGGTTAATTCAAAGAGATCTACACCCCTCCACGGGCACATGCAACAATGGTTGATGCTCCGAATACCATCTATAACATCTCAAGTGCAAAAACTGCTTACATGGCCTAGCTCCGCACGTGGAACGAGCCTATATACGTGTAGCATCTCTCTTACACTTTCGTCCCCGCTTCATGTAAAAGGGTTAACCTGGAGGTGCTACGTTAGCCCTCACCCACCTAAACTTCCAATCCAAGGTGGTATTAAACCCACCAACCCATAACCACACATAAGTCACTTAGGCCACATGGGCCAACTTCATAACTACTACAGGCTACTGATAGGCTAGGGTGTTACATAAATTTTGTAAAGCTCCGCACGTGGAACAGTCCTGTATACGTGTAGCACATCGCTTACACTTTCGTCCTTACTTCGTATAAAAGGGTTAACCCGGAGGTGATACGTTTAAAACAACAAGACTTATAAGCTGGCTCTCATCCTCCTAAACTTACAAGGTGGTACAAGACCCACCAACCACAACCACACATAAGCCACTTGGGCCACATGGCCCAACTTCACAACTACTATAGACTACTAATGGGCTGGGATGTTACATTAATTCTACAAAAAAATTATTTTGGTTTAGTATTAAGCTTTAAGACACATTTATTAGGGTTGTCCAAATTATGTTTTTTCATTGCAACATACTAATATATTTACTACTCCCTCTATTTCAGAACGAATACAATTTTTGATTAAACCAAGTAAAATTTCAGTTTGACTAAGTTTTTAGAAATTAGTATCAATATATATATCCTCAAATAAATTTACTATAAAAATATATTTTATTATTGATCTAGTGATACTTATTCATCATCATAAATATTAGTATTTCTTTATAAACCTGGTTAAAATCCAAACTATCTTATTCCTAAAAAGTGAGAATTAGAGGGAGCGAGTAGTAGCTATGACTAAAAAACACTAGAGCTAAAGCTATGTTAAAGGGAAATGTTTCTCCAACTCCGGCGGGCTTAGAAGGGGATCAGGGGAGGCAAAGTCAGCCAGGCGGTGGTGATGGCGGGGCGGCATTAGGGTTCTGGTGGCGTAGGAGGCGGCCGGACCAGATCGGGGAAGGGCGTCCATGGCCATGGCGGCGGCAGATGAAGGGGAAGGAGGAGGCCGCCACAAGCGCGGCCGCGGTGCTCTGTCGAGACCCTATTTTCAACTTTAAATAGGTTTGTAGAAAATGCGTGCAACATTTATATCACCAAATAAGTTTATTATGAAAATATATTCAACGATTTATCTAATGATGCTAATTATGTATTATTTAAATATTAATACTCTTTTATATATAATTGGTGAAAAAAAAAAAAAACTAATTTTCCGATAAGCAAGAACAGGGAGAGAGTGAGTCTAAAATAAGGTGAGGATCCACTCCTCTTGTGGCAGAGAGAGAGAGAGAGAGAGAGATCCAGTCGGATGCTGTAACAAGAGGCATTAAAATTCCTATTTCCAATATCATTCCGACATGGTAGTGATCTGGCTGTAACATTCAAATTCCTATTTCCAATATCATTCCGACATGGTAGTGCTAGATCAAAGTCATACACTGTGGATTTGCGCTCTATTACTCTGTAGCTAGACAGCTTTTTTTGGTTGAAAAAATAGCTAGCTAGACAGTGAAACCTGGCGCGTGTACTAGACGCACATGTATTGGCGTACGTAGGAAAAGTAGCTAGCGTGCGCCAATACAGACGAGACGACAAGGGATAAATCGGGCGCATACATGCTACGCCTACCTCCGGAGCGAGCACTGTTGCACCCGCCGTGGCCATAAATGATTGGGGTCACCGCCCGGTCGGCCGCGTCCGCCAGCCTCCCTCTTTCTCCTCCAGTTCTCCTCTCCTGTCCCGGATCGACGCTGCAGGCAGTTAGCTGCAGCTCCCGTCCTCGCCCTCCACAGTCTAGCCTCCAGCTATATACGCCCACTCTATCTATCGCCAGTTCGCCACCCGCGTCCCAGTAACCACTCCTCGTCGTCTCTCTCGCGGTGTCGCCTCCCTCTCGCCAGAAATCGAAACCGCATCTGCTCCCGTCTCCCGTCTCGCCGCCGACGCCGCCTGATCGACCAGAGCCTAGACCGGGGCGTCGAGGCCTTCCGGCGCTCAGGTGAGCTCGGCTGGTGTGCAATTTCTGTTGTTCTCTTCTCGCGGCTGGTTAAAATTGGCGTGTCTCGGCTCCCAACTGGCCCTTTTTCCAGCCAGTGCGCTTCAGTTTTCTAGGTAGGCTGCCGCAGTAGCTGCTGCAGCTGCAGCTGCTGACCTCAGATCAGGCAATTCTTGGGATGTGCTGCCCTCAGAGGCGCCGTACTTGCCCTGGACCAGCCTGATTCTGATTTCATCTCCCCCGTTGCAAACCCTAGTTCTTTACTCCTGTTTTCTCGATTAAGTAGCAGCAGAATCCAGGACCACGAAATCCAGAACTTGTAGTTTACAATTCGTTCTTCTTCCCACTTTCCGCCGCCTCGAAAGCTTCTCTCCCTTCTGCAAAAGCTCAGGAGTAGTAGCATAATACAAGCGTGTAATCCAACTCGCTCGTGGTGATGGCTGCGAAAAATTCAGTTTTTTGATTCGGTGTCCTGGTTCCCGGCGTTGCCGTCGCACTAATCGAGGGGGTTGCATGCAGATCTGAGGCGCAAGTAGCAAGCGAAGGACATGCAGGTCGGAGGAGGCGCGGCCGACAGCCCTGGCGCGGCGGCGGGCGCGGAGGCGCCGCGCCCGAGCCGCTACGAGTCGCAGAAGCGGCGGGACTGGCACACGTTCGGGCAGTACCTGCGCAACCACCGGCCGCCGCTGGAGCTGGCGCGGTGCAGCGGCGCGCACGTGCTGGAGTTCCTGCGCTACCTCGACCAGTTCGGCAAGACCAAGGTCCACGCGCCGGGGTGCCCCTTCTTCGGCCACCCGTCGCCGCCCGCGCCGTGCCCGTGCCCGCTGCGCCAGGCCTGGGGCAGCCTCGACGCGCTCGTCGGCCGCCTGCGCGCCGCCTTCGAGGAGCACGGCGGCCGGCCCGAGGCCAACCCCTTCGGCGCGCGCGCCGTGCGCCTCTACCTCCGCGAGGTCCGCGACAGCCAGGCCAAGGCGCGCGGCATCGCCTACGAGAAGAAGCGCCGGAAGCGGCCGTCCGCTTCGTCCCAGTCGTCGCCGCAGGCTGCGACGACACCGCCGCCGCAGGCCGCCCCCGCCTCCTCGCCGGCCCTATCTGACGCGGCGGCCGAGAGGACCGACGTGCGGGCGCACGTGCCGGACGCCGGGCACCCCCATCACCTGCACCAGCACCAGCACCACTTCTTCATGCCACACCCGCAGTTCCTGCACGGGTTCAGCCTGCTGCCGGGAAACCCCGAAGCGGTGGCTGGCAATGGCAATGGCAGCAGCAGCAGCAGCGCTAGCGTCGCTGCCGGCAGCGGGGACGAGATAGCGCTGGCGATGGCGGCGGCGGCGGAGGCGCACGCGGCGGGGTGCATGCTGCCGCTGTCGGTGTTCAACTAGGCTGGCGTGTAGCCAAGCGAGGTTGGGCACAATAGTAGATTAATCCGGGTGCTTATCTAGTGTTAAGATCGATCTCAATAGATTAATCCGGGTGCTTATCTAGTGTTAAGATCGATCTCATTGTCGCGATTGAGATGAACCGATCAACACACGTACGTGCTGCTGTTCTTCAGGATTTCCTGTTCCCATCTCTTTTGGTTACATCATGCTCCTGCATTTCCTGCTGGAAAATAGTATTAGTAGCTGTGCTTGGTACTGTAGGGTTTGCAGCATCCTGCTTGGTTTGTGTATGCAATGCAATGATGATGGAGATATAATATAATGGAAGGCTTAATTTCCAGGCTAATGTTCTTGGTGCTCTAGGATCTCTGATTCAATTGTTACTTATCTCTTCTTTTGAGATGGCATGCATCCTTTTAATTTTTTTGTCCCAGTATATATGCACACTCTTGATCGATCTCGGCCTGTTCGTTTCGTCATAAACGATCGTGGATTATTTATTGCTTGGCTGGTTTAGTGTGAGAGAAAAATATTATTCCAGCTTATAATCTACGATCGTATAGGTCCAACTGAACAGGCCAGTGGTGGTTCGATTTTCAGGTATGCCATTTACAACTTACAAATTAGCACTTTTTTGTACTCCATGATATGCATGTGCAAGTTTTTTCTTGTGAGGGCAATGATGAATGTACAAGCTGACAACCTGTTATAATTAATATGAAAATTCAAGATAATTTGGAACAAAGAACCCACAAACTGGGAAACACTTCCATTCAGACTCTCAGGCCTCGTACAAAACTAGAGGATTAGCCAAATACTCCAACACCAATCAGCAGTCTTTGGTGATCAAAGAGAACAGCTAGGGCAGACTTTAGATTTTTTGCATGTTCGCTGGTTGGTTTCTAGGCTGATAACGTGCTGGTTTGTTGTGAGAGGAAAACACTGATGACTGGCTGATAAGCCCTGGTTGAAACCAATAAGCGAACAACATATTTATTAGGTGGGTAACCATAAAGTGTTTGTGTTTTTGCGATGTTCAAACATACTATATATTATTTGGATACATAATTTACTCTCTAAATCATCATTTAGAAAGTTATTTAGGTAAAAATTGCTTTCTATGTCTTTGTATCCTCTAACGGTTTTTGTGTATCTTGTGTGTATTCTAGCGAGAAATTTTCAAGAATAAAGGATATTTATATTTGGAGATCTAATTTTAAAGGTTGTTTGAGGATATTTTTAACCAAAATTTTTATTTGTATAAATTAGGAAGGATATAAAGAGTAAGTCATGCTGGACAAGTGCACACAAAAATTGGAGAAATTTTGGATAAATTGTGCCTAGGGAAAAAGTAAAAAATTACCCTATGGCCTATATGTCATTTGGGTCATGAATTTTGCTGCATAAGCTCTATTGTTTAAAAAACTACTCTGTTGCACAAATGTTTAAAAAGTTCATCAATATATATCTATTAGAGCAATTTCAATAGAACCTCTACTTGGCCTTTATCTTACTTTTGGTCGCAGAAAAAAAAACTCACTCCAAACAACCTTTTGGCACCCAAAATGTTCGACTGATGTTTTTACGGCTGATAAGCCGACTGATGCTGTTTTATTATAAGAGAAAAACATTGTACCATGTCTGATAAGCTAGGCTAATAAGTTCAAGCGAACAGGGTTGTTCCACCCTCGCCCTCTCGTTCCTAGGACTTAGAAGTCATCCTAGAGCATCTCTATTAGTTGAGAAAAACAATTCATTTTCTCTAAAAATTGTGATACAGGGGATGAGATAGAAAAAACCCTCTATCAAATCTCCTTTCTGAATGCACCTTTTTCCATATATTTCTCAATTACTCAGAAACTCCCCTCAGTCCCTCAAAGAAACGGGGACTTTTACAAGCATCTTCAAAATTCTTTTTAAAACTCGCTCTCTGAATTATTATTGAGAGTCATTTGCATAAAAATTGATTTCTATATCTTTCTGCTCTTGAGCAAATTTTCTATATCTTGTGTACACTCTATAGTCATTCACGTTTTCTACCTTTGGCTAGCGAGAAATCCGGAATAAAACATAGCTATGTTTGATAACTAAATAAAGAAGCTGTTGGAGAGTGATTTTTTATCAAAATCTCTACTTCTAGTCATTAGAAAAGATATAAAAAAACTCTTAAAGTTGCTCTAAGTTTGACAACATTTACCATATATTTGACATGATAAATGTGAGACGTTGATAAATTTTGCTAGCGAACAAATAGCAGTAAAAATCTTGGCTTGGCAACCAATTTTAGCCGGCGCCCAATCAGGCTCGTAGTCTTGGTCGAGCTCGTAATAGTCCCGGCCGGCACTTTGGCAGATCTTGCTGTACAAAAGAATCTCCGACGAGAGTTTAAAGCCTGTTCGGCTGGGGTGAAATGATAGCAAACGATAGTAATTTTTAGTCAGAATAATATTTTTTTTTCATATAAATTAGTCAATAGTACTTTTTCACGAACTAGTAATGAACCAGCCCAGCCAAAGAACAGGCTGTAAATGTTTTCGCACTGACTTTCGCTGTTTGCAGAAGTTGTCGATAATAAAAGCCTTCAGACAAGAATGCCTGGGGTAGCTTGGCGCTGTGCTTGCATGGCTCCACCACTTGGGCGAAAACAGGCAGCATCATTGACTTAATTAGTGTGCGACTGTGCGTACAGCGAGTGGTTTTTGCAACAGGGCTCAGTATTTAGTGTGCATTCGCGACAAAAGGGCAATTAAGGGGGGAATCTTAATCACCAAGTGTCATGATTTACTGTTCACGTCTATCAGAAAAGAACGTACGTCGGCCATCTCTCATTGTTTGTGCACTGTGTACTGATCGATTCCGCTAAAAAATAGTAACCAAGCCCGAAATAGGAAAAGACGGGAAGCCTTGCATTGGTACTATGAAAACAACTGTACTCCAACTGGGGTGTTTTCACATTCATGCGTTCTCTTGCTCGTTAATACCACGTGACATGACTAATTCTGTTTGGACCGACGTCTCATACATGTGTGCATCCTTTTGTTTCTTTTGCTGGTCGTTGCGCCAAAATCGTGATCACTGTTTCTAATATATACTGTATATAATAGTTTCCAAACCTAGGCACACACTCCACTGATGCTCATGTCTTGCTCCTATACCTTCAAAAACGTTGGTCCTTTTAATTTTATCCTAAATTAAGCTTTTCAAGTTAATTATATCGGTAAATAAATATATATTATGAAGACATGTTTTACAGTAAATTTAATAACTAGTGTTATATTATATATATAGATGTTGTATTTCCTATTAAGTAAAACAACTAGCATCATAATAGGAATGGATGGTTATTTAAGCCACAAAGCATTTAGGTATGTACCTAGTAATACTACAAAAGAGGTAATTTTCACAATCATCAACCATTTTTTCAGGACAGGTTTGTGTAATAACATGCATTTAGAAATTGCGGGCTGGACAAAACCCTTGAAACGCCACATAAAAATATATTTTTAGGGTGGTTCTCTTGAGCAAATGGTCCCTGAAACTCCTTTATGTGTATCATAAACCATCTCTAAAAATTTTGTATTAAGCCGAAATTTATAAAGGACCTTCAAGAAACCATCTATACGGGCGGTTCTCTTAAACAATAATTATGCAGTACTCCCCCGTTTTCAAATTATAAGACGTTTTATATTTTTCTAGATTCATAATTTTTACCGTGTGCTTAGTTATACACTGTCCATATTCATAGTAAAAGTAATGTCTCTAAAAAACCAAATGCCTTATAAATTAAAATGGAGGGAGCAGTACAGAACACTATTGCATGCCAGCCATTTTTAGAGAGGTAGGGATACGTGGATCATCATGGCAGCCATTTTCACGTCCTTTTTTATTCATGAGTAGCCATTGACCGCCATCCACTACGGAGAGTAGCACATGGATGGATCAATTACCAAATACTACTTCCAGCTGCTGCTGCTGCGACTTGGTGGTCGCTGCCGCCGGCGCTGCGCCAATCAAACCATTGGCCCCAAACACAAGCATCTCTCAGGAGAATGCGTGGCACCGACGCGACTGATCGACAATCGATTCACATGTGCAGCAAAGAAAGCCATCTCCATTTCATCTCTCGAAAGATAGAGGAAAGGAAACTAGCTAACGGCCCCGTTCGCTTGTCTTAAATTCGTTTGGTCAATGGTCACGTTGAAGGGGATTGCATTGCATGCATTGGCTACCTGTGTCTTCTTCTCGATTCGCCTTTCTAGCTCCTCCACCTCGATCGAGGTGATGGAACGGCCGCGGCCATGGGAGCCCGTGTGCTTTCTTGTGCTCGATGATTAGGGCTAGGGGCAAGCACCAAGCGGGCAGTAGATAGATTCACAAATCATTTGATTCCTGAAGGCCGGAAAAAAGGATTTCACTCATTGCCCTGATCATCATCAGACTCAGACCCACGCGATATGTGTGTGGCCAAGGATCTTCGTCTTTTGCACACGGCTAATCAGCAATGACACTGCCGGCTGGCCGGCTGGCCTCATTGTGTGTCCTATCTTCTACGGTGTACTGCTGCAAGAGTACTGCTGGTGCAACAGTGGTGGGCTATTATACTGTACATGTGCAGTGCTTGTTCGGTTTTCAGCTAACTACAGAACTACTGCTACGCCTCTGTCCTGAGAAAAAAATACGACTCTAGATGCATTCTCGGTATAAAATATCCAAAATTTAACCAATAAATGTATAGGTAACAATATTAAAATTTTTGGTACCAAACAAATATATTATGATTATCTCATGACAAATCCAATAATAATTATTTGCTGTCATAATAACTATCTATACGCACCTCTGACCCTGGAGAGGTGCCAGAGGTGCGACGGCCGAGGGCCCAGGGGAGGGAGGCGCCTAGGCGCATGTATACTGTAGACCCCAGCCGTATAGTCCGATGACACTTGATAAGCAGCCCGAGACGTTCAGGATCACGAGCGCCGAGCGCTTGCTTCCCCAGT